GGCCACCGCCCAGCCAGGGAGGGGCGGGGAGATGGGGACCAGGCAGCTGCCCTCGGCTGCCCATCCTCCACCCCTCACACCCCCAATGTGGCCCCCCCATCTCCTCCTCATCACAGGGGTGGGGTGGGCCGTCTGCAGAGAGGCAGCCGACAGCAGCAGTGAGACGCCAGGAAGGAGCTGGTATCGACCGTCCCGGGCCTGCGCCGGCGGCCGCAACGAGAGGCCATCTGTCCGTCCACCTGTCTGTGCACCGCCCTCCCGGGGGTCTCACGGTGCCGGGCACAATGCTCAGCCCCTCGGCTCGGGAATGGGTGGAATTCTCACCGCCCTCCGCACGCCGCTCCGGCCTCTCCCCATTTTGCAGATGGGGACGGTGAGGCAGAGAGGCCGGAGCTCCTCGGGGTTCCCACAGCGGGACGGGCATCCAGGCACCCGCTGCACCAGACACCCCGCCCTGGAGCCCCAGCGGGGAGACGGGGGAGCGGGCTCCCTGGGAACAGGGCACGGGGGAGGGGGCGGTAGAAACTTCCAGAAGCCTCCGGACGACCCTCAGCAGCCCCATCCCAGGCTCCTGATTAATTCAGGTTCTGCAGGTAGGAGCCCAGGCCAGCGCCTCGAAGTGTCTGTCCGGCCATAGGGACGCCAGGGCGCGGCCCGGGAGAGCGAGGGCGCTGTGGGACCATCGATCGCCAGAAGCAATTAATTGTCAGGGTCAAGAGATAGTGAAGCTTTGTCCCAGGGCCCAGGGGGACAGTCCAGCCGGTCTGGTAGCCCAGGCGGGAGGGGGTTCCTGTTGACCTGGTCCTGACGGGGGGCGGGGCTTCCATGCAGCCTCTGGCACCCCCTTTCCTGTCTCTGCCCCCCACAGGCCTTCTGCATGCTCCCCACTCACAGGCCCGACCCTCCAGGGAACAGCATCCGCGACTGTGCACCAGGAGGGCCCAGCCCATCCTGCCCGCGGTGCCCACGGACACACGGGGACACTGCGTCCCAGCAGCCCAGGACCTCGCCTGCCGTCCGGCAGGGGGGCCCACACCTGTCCCCTAACTCCCCGAGTCTGTGACCTCGGAGGTCATCACCGGGGTGGCTGACACCCGGCCGCCTCGGGCTCACATCCCAGCTCTGCCGTTTTGCAAAGCTTTGCATCTCCGAGCCTCGGTTTCCCCATCTGTAAAATGGGGGTGATGCCAGGAGCTACGTTGTGGGACACATACCGCCTGGCCCACAGCAGGCGCTGAGTTCAAGCTCACTACCGGGGCTCCCCCTCCCTAGCCCTCAGGTGTCAGTCCGTAACCCCCGCAACTGGGAGACCCCGACTCCAGGCCCCCGCCGGCCTCTGCAGCAGCACCCGCTGGGAGACTCCGGCGTCGGTGGCCGAACTCCACACCCCAGGCCCGGTGTGAAGAACAGAAGTGCCCTCAGCCCGGGTGGTGCGGCTCAGTGCATAGAGCGTTGGCCCGCGGACTGAAGGGTCCCGGGTTCGATTCTGCTCAAGGGCATGTATCTCGGTTGCGGGCTCCATCATCACCAGCCCGGGTGGGGCACGTGCAGGAGGCAGCCAATCGATGTGTCTCTCTCCCATCGATGTTTCTCTCTCTCCCCGTCCCTTCCACTCTCTCTGGAAATCGATGGAAGAAAATATCCCGGGGTGAGGATTATCACCAACAACAAAACAGAACAGAAGTGTCCAGACGCACACAGCCCTCCACCCAGACCCCCTGAGGACAGGGCATGGGGCCCCCCCCGTGAGGCTCACCCCCGCTCCCAGCCACCACCCCACCCTGTGTCTGCACCAGATCCCTCCACACACACCCTGGACACGTGCAGCCCCCCCCGTCGCTGCCCCCACTGCCCGGATGGGAAAACTGAGGCCTGAGGCAGCCCGTGGACGCCTTTTGCAGGAACCGAGCTCGGCTCACGGGTGCTCAGAAGCCGGGTCACCGGGGCCAGGGAGGCGCTGAGTCAGAGTGAGACTCTCACGGAAACCGAAAGCAGCTGAAAGCAGCCTCGGCCGGCCGAGCGCTCCCGGAGTGAGCCGCCCTGATTCACAGTCAGCCGCTGGCGCTGTGTTGGAAAGTTCTTGCTCCTGGGGGGGGGGGGGGG